ATATATATATATATATATATATATATATATATATATATATATATTAACGAACGTTGAAGTAGTAATAGTATTGCCTAGAATTATGTAGGCGATATCAGACAATTATTTAATCACATGGATTTGCATTAGTCAGCAAACAACGAAATTTGCACTGGGCCTATTGGATTAATTGGGGATTTGTCGTTTAAAATCATGTGACACGGCGTGATGACGTCATTATGTAGAAGCTAATAAAAGGCCTACGGCTTAAGCTCTTGAGATCATTGTATTTATTACATTCAATCTTGTCTCCAATCAACATAATTATTTTCCACCAGCATTTGTTTGCGTAATTTAAAACAGAGCAATTATCACATTCTGTTGGATTTTTGCAATCACGTGACCTAGGCCTATATCGCGTGTCAGGTTACTTATATCGAAGTAAAATCTTGCCATGAAAGCCTGTCTATCTACAACTGGACATAACATCTCGGATAATTTCCCAAATAATAAAGCTATAACGTAAGTTAATTATAAAGACATAAATAATATAATCCACACCAGTCGTGACAACTAGTTCTTAATTTTTCTTCACGTACATTCGTAAAATATATCATTAAAATTTAATAGAGTTCACTTATATGTAGTAGTTACCATTAAGCATACAGCAATTGCTGATATCTCACTCGTAAGGTTCTATGTTTTTTACTATCTGCTGTGGAACTAACGCTCCTGGTAATTACACTCGGTAACGCTTCATATCCCATAGATAAATCACGCCAATTGTACGACATCTACATATATTTTTAATTGGGTTTCGGTTGTGAAAATTCTCACACATAATAGGCCTCTATTTATGATTGATTATGAGCGCCAGGCTGATTATTAGAGGCGATAAATATGATCCACACGTCCTAGTTCATAATTTCTTAGTTGAGATATCAAGTAGAGATTGTGTCTGAAACGATTATACCTTTACTCTATTAATTCTTCTTTACAATTTGTGGAAATGTTGCTGCACATATTAAAACGAAAATCTGTTCCTTGTACTACTGAATTTTTCTCATATCTTTTTCTCAAGTCAATGTTGACATTGGAATATATATAATTTATGAAAGTTAGTGTTCATACTTTGTCTATCGTCTGTCAATCACAGTGTTTCCCCATCTCCTCTTTTGAAAACATGTTATTTAGATACGAGTCAAAATGAATTGTATGTTCCACGTCCTTAAAACTTTTTTATGTTAAAAAAAACTCGATACTTCTTGTCTCATTCCTTTGTCTATAAATAATTTTTATTTTATAGCAGCTTAAAGTTTATCTATTAGCAATATGTTTTTTTAATTTTTGTTTTTGGTACGGTACCTTATACACATCTTCAATTTGATATAGTCATTGTTAGTTATATATGCAATATAATTTGAAAAATTTGTATAACTCTCATAATTATTTAATTTATTTAAATACGATTTCGAATATAAATTTCCTGTTGAATGACAGCTTATTTTGTACTTCGTTAAGTTATTATAATTAACTGCTCTCAGTTTTCAAAAATAGGCCTTAATGTTTGTTAAATTGAATTTTGCTTACAGTGAGAGCCACCATTGAAATATTATTGAATAATTAACAATTATTCTATTAATGTCGTAAATATAACATTATTGAATAATTAATTATATCCCCAAGACTCACTATCATCTTCTACGTAACACGTCTCGGGACCTACATTTTCCAGAATGGTTAATTATTCAGCCCTCATAAGTCGAGTAATTTCTTATACACATTCGATCGCTCAAAGTGCTAGAAACATCACCTTGATAATATGTTGGCTTTTAATATTCCCGTACCTAACACGTTAACAGTAATTTTAGATTGTGTCTGTCACTAAGTGCAGTATTATTGCTTATGTTCAACGGGGAATATCCCGAAGGGAAACATCATTGCCATATCAGTCATTTAAAAAGCAAATTAGAATTAATTAGGGTCAAATCTTTGTCTGCTGTCAGTTATGGTAGTTAATAAGATCGTCATTAAAATATGAGATTTGTTTAAATTGGTTTTGTCATGTGTACAAGGACATTTTTTAATTGTTAGGCCTATTCTTTTAATTTCTGGCTTTATTTGATCACAAGTATCGCAAGGACGAGTGCATTTTAGATGAATAATTGGAGTGAATAAGCAATTATTATAAACTACAAAAAATGCTATTACCGTTGGCCATGACAGTGTATGCAATTAAATATTAACCTTCACATAACGCCATGCCCTTGTGAAGAATATTATTAAATGAGATTCGGATTAAATAAGATTAAGTCTGATTAAGCTAACCATCTAAAGATACCTAAACTAGTGAAAGTCATGATCAATAGGTTAATAATAGCCCTACTATACATACAAGCAATAACTATCACTGTGTAAGTTATTACTAGGACCTCTGGTCCAATTGGATGTGATGCACAATAGGCACTCTGGCCCGTAATATGCAAATCATTCACTTATTTATACCATGGAGGCTTCGGCTAATGTGATCTCATTAATAATGTATCACAGTATGGCTTTTTATAATTCACCAAATATTAACATTTATTGTTACCATATTCGAAAAATGTTCACGACAAACAACATACTGTTAAGTCCGTTTGTTATCTTGCCAATTATATATTAAACATATGTATTTATTAATATCAATTTTAAATATATAGAATTAGTAATTTGAATTGAATGAGATTAAATTATAACAATCCGGTTACTCTAGAAGATTTGTCACGACCAATATACAAGCAGTCAACGCCATTTGTTCTTCATGTTTTATGTTTAACAAATGTTTGTCTTTTTTCCCTATGATTAAATGATAAAAGAAATAATAATTAATAGTACGCGATGGGCAATTGTGAATGATATATTAAAATTATAAATGGTTTCGAACAACTATAAAAAAGAAAGGAATTTTATCTCATTGTTAATATTCCACATTTATGCCAGGCCTAATTATTCATGGGAATGATTCTGGAATTTTGATATGTTGAAGTGAAATAGTTCCCATCGTCTCTGTCTCCAATGTAAAGAATCTCTGATTACACAAGCCTACAGTCTCTGCGAGAACTAGTTCAAAAGGTCTCTATATCAGTAGCCAAAGTGACCTGATTTTTAATATTTGATCCAACTAGGCCCAGTAAATATCCTTCTCATTGTTGATGTTTTTTTCTCACAAGTGCCAACAATAGTTCATTCATTAATTCATTCATTCATTTAGCCTCCGTCAGTGATATTCATGTTTTCTTGGATGGCAGTCAAATAGCCTAAATTTAATAACTAGGTCAAAATATAATTCTTGTTTTTCATCAGAAAAGTTGTTTGAGATTCACGCTTTGATTTTGGGTGATGACAAAAGAAACCGTGGATGCACGATCGACATGAAATAATCCTATCTTTCCAACATGTAACACACCGTGGAGATCGGTCATCGGGTTCTATCTAAATTTGATGATTATTCTCCAATTTTCCAGAAATTCCGGTCCAGTCTGGCGTAGAATAAGCGGTCCTTATCCCCCCTTAGTCATCGGACTTAGGCACCAAAGCACGTATGCTTTCCTTTGGCCTAGAAATAGCCCGACTAAGGATGCGGATATAGTGACCCAGTTACACACGTTATGTGTTAGAAAATTGAGTCGAAATTGTAAATGGATCTTTGTAGACCACGCGGCAAATCCTAGCTAATCGATCAGTTAACACCTTTATATTGCCGGCGTTAGATTCTACTGTCCTTTTCTTGACCATCACGTTTTAAGGATGACAGATTGTATGACAAACCAATTGAATGAATCACAAACGGCAGTGACAAACATGTTTTCTGTCAATTTAATACGTATTAGTAAAAAAAAAAAACAATAAACGACAGACAGATATAAATTTGACAGCTTGTTATTTTCTACCTATTTATAGGACTAATTAATGAAGTAAATTATATATTTATACTTATATATTTATATAGGCATATTCGTTCTTTCGTTCATTTATTCATTCACTATTCTGTAAAGTAGGTATATTATTTTCCGTACAAATTTTAATATTCATTTGATTGATTGATTGATTGATTGATTAATTGATTGATTTACTTATGTATTTATATAAGCATATTCGTTCGTTCATTCATTTATTCATTCTTCTGAAAAGTAGTCATAGCCTATTAATTTCCACACAAATTTAAATATTTCCTTGATTGATTGATTGATTGATTGATTTAAAATAAATTTATAAAATGACAATAATGTTAAAAGGTTCTCACAAGCCTCACGATGAGACCTATATGTAGAACATTTTATGTTTGTCTTGTGCCTAAAGTTGAATTAAAATATAATTAAAAAGTACCTACAACATCATTACACCTTCATACTTTAGGCAAAAAAAATCATGAAAGTAAACCAATAAAATGTTAGGCCTATATTAAAAATATCAAATGTTATGGGAACTTACCCGATGGTTTTGGTATGCCGTCACGGCTGTAAACTGCGTTTCCGCAAATATGAATGTTTTAAAGTCCCTTTCAGGTTCCGCGTCAAAATCTTTCTTCCCGCTCACATGGACAACATGAAAACGAGGTTGATATCTATGCATTGAATTCAGAATTATCTATAATGAAAAAGATACGATTTTAAATTAAACATGTGTACCGTACTTCTAATCAGTGCATCTCGTTATCATAATTGATTAGCATATTATTTTCAATATAAATAAGTTAGGAAAAGTTAGGAAAGAGATAAATTCTATTCCATTAAAGTTACATTGACTGAAAAGAAAACAACAGACTTAGATTTAATTTTCTCATTGTATGTGTATTTCAGTCAGCGTAGTATAAATGTATTTGAATTATAAAAATAAAAATAATAATAATAATAGGCCTAATAATAATAATGGTAATAACAATAATAATAATAATAATAATAATAACATGTGCTTTAATAGTAATAACAATAATAATAATAATAATAATAATAATAATAATAATAATAATAATAATAATAATAATAAGTCAGACTTAAAAGGAATATCTTTTGTGTTTTTTCCCCTTAACGTCATGTTATTTTCCACTTAACGTCTTTTTTATTGTTCTCTAATTTCTCCATTGTCTAAGTTCCCCTTAAGGTAGGTGTTAGTAACATAATGATGATAATAATAGTAATAATAATAGTAATAATAATAATAATTATTATTATTATTAAATTATAAAAATTACATTGTATTATAATTAATTAGTATTGAATAGATTATAAAATGAATCTAAGTATAGACCAAACAATGCGTTTATATTCACACATAAGTGACTACTGTTTTGAAAAGTCAAGATAATGAGATTGGATGACGTAAACACCTATCAAACGGTTTCAAAGTGAACATTCAGTTATTACGTTACTCTAATTCGTATACTGAGTTTGTAACCCGCGATAATAATATGCGTATAATTATAGTAATAACATGAATAGTAACAGAACAAATAATTACAGCCCTAATACGAGTAGCATCATTATGGTCATCATCGTCGTCATCATCATAATCATCATCACCATTATCATCAGAACCCGTCATCATAATCATCATCTTCATCGATCTCACCATTATCACTACTTCCATCTTCATCGTTAGCAGTAGTACGACATAAGCTCCTACATCGTTCATCATCACTATCATCGTCATCATCACCATCATCGTCTTCATCCTCATTGACGTCATCATTATCATCATCAACATCATCATCATCACTATCATGATCACCATCATCCTCTTAGTCGTCGTCATCACCTTCATCACAATCATCATCATCATAACCACCATCATCATCATTAGCAGTAGCAGACCTGCATCATCATCATCTGAACAACGATAATAAATTCTCGTATCGCGCCTTTTCACATTACGTTACATATTATAGTCTAAGCTACATTTCACAAAAATATCTGTCAAACTCATGTTTACCATAGTTAGGATGCGACCTGTGCGTTTAAAAAAAAGGTATAAAACCTAGGAGAATGTAGGACACATTACTGGTAAGGTTATAATGGGAATAGAGTGCAGTGCACTAACGATTCATATTCTAAATCGTCGTCAATAAATCACAGATCAAAACAAAGGCTTCCCGCGTTCATTCGGCTCTTTGTCATTATAAAACAAAGTTATGAATTGACTTTAATGCAATGTGTCCTAATTGATGTGGTTGGGTGGAGCTATATACAGCATTGGGGAATTCAGCCAGCCTGATCTCTAGGCCTAGCCGGGTTTTACTTCTACTAATGACAGGGCTCAATCGCCGGGACGTTACTTGTCAAAAAGTGCTTGCCATGATATATAACGCGCACTAGATTAGCACCCACGAGGCCAAAAATGATGTGGGAAGCTTCGACATTGAACTTCGAAAATTAAATCCAATTGTGGAACGATAGCTTCTGAAAATCTCACCAATCATAAACTCATGTTCACACGCACGCACTTATTGACTTAAGTCCAGGCTGGCGGCCGACCCTTGTAGAACGGAACAACCACCCGAATATAATCTAATATACAAGAAACAAATTATACCCACACCAGGGACTTCCAGATTGTAGAAAACATTTTTATTTGGCTTACAGATCCCACCCAGCGTTCGACTGTGTGCCTTGTATAATAAACAACAGTAATTCAGATCAATGAAACATCTGTTAGTCTTCCGTAAACTGAGTCTTTCATCAGCCTTTCTCTATAAATTTATGACGTTGTGATGGAACCCAGTTTTAAAAATATATTTTGTGTACCGAAGATTTTTTTTATTAAAATTTTTAGAGGAAGAGAAGACAATCGTCTACAGTCTACTCATAAATTGTTGTGACATGGTTTTCAGTACTTCCGAGAGTCCTGCATGAAAAAATTGACTAATACTAGTATTAAATACAGTGCGGTTCAATTCGTGTCTTAGAACGTGCGAGAAAGTTATTTACGATATAGGGCCTACAGTAAATAGTGAACAAACAAAAGCAGGCATATTGATACTATTATTAACAGTACCAATTATTAGGGCTGTTAACAAGGCCTATCAATTGGTAATTATTTATGAGATTATTATCTTGTTGGTTTTGCTTAAACACTAGTGCTGTTCCGTACGTAATTGTAAATTAAAATGAAATTGATATAGGCCTATATATATGTATATGTATATATATATTATATATAGGCCTATATATAATATATTATATATATATTATATTATTATTATATATTATTATTTTATATTATAATATAATATAATATAATATATTATGCTAAAATTTATTGAAGCGATTATTTCGGTTACTCCTGTAGTCTTTGTCAACGCTTGTAGTCTTTATTTTTTTCATATAGGCCTATAGATATTTAGGCCAATATAATATTTAGATTGCTGCGTAACACCGTGAACGCAATGTAAACACCTCTAGATGAATAGTATATGTAGTGTTCGAATAGGAACATAACATTATTATTACTAGGCCTATATAAATATATATATATATATATATATACATATATATGGGCCTATAGGAGGATATGTATGGAGGGTTGTGCATATAGCCTAGGGCTAGCTGAGCCATAGGCCTATCTATTGATTAGTGTGTGGAGGGCTACTTACATGACCGTTATCGTCCATGAGATTGTTTGTTAGCTTGAGTTTATCGAACGATACGATCTGCTTCATCCACATGGCTCCCCTTGCCGGAGAGTCGGGGTGAACGTGGATGCGGCCTGGCATCTCCGGGTCAGCCTTACCGGCCACCAACCAACTTGAACTGTGGAAGGCGTACCTGTAACGTTTATCATCCACCTGAATAAAATAACGAGAAAACAATTATTGGTATCATCTCTTGCACACATAAATCTCTTAATAGGCCTATCGGTCAATTGCTATAATATCAGCTTGGTCAGCCCACATGGTTTTGCTACTTTTAGTAATGCAAGACTTTGGATTTATTGAAAACTATTTCAGTTTGGATCCAACACTATTATTCGGAAGTGTGTAAGTTACCGGGCAAGCATCTACAGGATGAACTGGGTTTTTGAATGGGAAAACCAATATCGTGTACATTTTCGTACATAAAGAGACACAGGAAATAGGCCCAAATATTATTATCAATGGTATTTGCAACGAACATCTATTGTATTCCCTTAGGTCTAAAAATCTACCCCATATGAACTTCAATAAAGACTTTATTGTGTTTAAATCTACATAGAGATTTAACCCCATCTTAATGTGATAAAAATGTCAAATATAATTCCATCACCGCTCCAATGCAATAAATGTCCTGAAAAAGGAATAAAATTCGAATTTGATAGCAAAATTTAATGTTTTATTCTCCTGGGTATCAACCTGAGTATATCGTGACACGTGAGCAAACAGTTTTGCAACAAATAAAAATTTATTTTCTGTAATGTGACCCTCCCGGTTCTCTACGTCCATCCTCTTCGATCCTTTCATAAAATCTCGGTTAAGTCACTTTTGTTCACACTATGTAAGTGTTCATCCGATTTATCAAAGTAATAATGAAAACTCTAAATAGGCCTACATTTATGGTGTTTTTTTTTGTTTTTGTTTTTTTTTCTTGTGTCAGTTCGAAGTTAAGTTGTACTTTATAATTATGCAGGCAAAGTGAAACGTCTGATATGGATGGATTGGTACATGAATAGTACGAATGGGCAGCGACGTTTACGGCAGTCGAGAGCAAATTTAATTTACGTGATGCACCTGAATTGGTACAAAGATGGTGACACAGGGAGACATAATTCTCCAGTTTTATAAATATCGATAAATCAATCATGATTTCTGTCTTAGAAACATTCAAATATTGTATCTCCAAGAATGTGAATTTTGTTTGTTCAATTTTAAACACCCTGAGCATTATATCCTATGATTGGTTGTGGTTCTGCTGCGCGTGCCGTATTATAATTTGGTCACGCGCGATAACCATTCAACCAAATTTTTTCGTGCGACAACTAGAACGCATGGGACTGTGTATTATATTGTTTGATTTATCTTCACGCCCCTTATTTTACCCAATAACCAGCAGTGTGGGTCACACGCGGCTTTGTGTTTGCAATCATTTTTATCGAGCGACTTTGCTAGCTTTGCCAACCGAGGAAGTAGTAAACAGAAGTTAAAGCTAGGATATTTGTGGTGCTTGTCAGAGCAGAAATAATAATTAGGTCTATTCAAACAAACCATTTTGACCGATTGTACGTGCCGGTTTGCTATCGAAGTCTGCAAAGTTCCTAAACAACATATTAAATTGATCACCCAGCAGTAATTACTGTATAAAGAAAAATATACAAAAGTATATAAAAAATATAACAATATATAGGCCTAAGTTTATCTGACTAGACTATATTCATTAAGCCGATAGTCATATCGGAAAAGATTAATTGTGAATAATAGGAATACAAAAGCAGTTGAGCATGTGGTTATCGTTTCAAAATAAACTAAACGGGTTCTAGGAATCGCCATCAAGTCCAATATAAGTATGAGGACAAACTATTTTATTAGGTATGAAGAATTAAGAGAGGGAAGTAAAGGTATGCGTCACTAGAGGGTGCTTAAATTATATTTTATATATTATATTATATATTTTTGCACGCTTATAGGCACATACGACACTTATATAATACATTTGTTAAAATGGAACCAGAGAAAAGTGGTCTTTAATTGGAGGTGGCCTTAAGTTGGAGGGGTCTGTAGTATGCAAGGCCAGATAGAATGACTTTGAGAGTGCGCACGCGTACCGTCCATGTGTACAGATATAAGTATAGGTTTGTTGCATGAGTGTGAACATTATTAACACTTGTGCTTCGTATAATGTAGGCCTACGATGGACACTTCGGCTATGCCGCAACGAGTGCTGACTGTGTTTGTGTTATTAGCTTTGTCGTGCAGTAAACCCACGAGAATCCTCGTTTGTTACTTTTTATACAAACCTAATGTAATGTTATGGTTTGATTTATTGGCCAAGATATCGCCGCTGAATGACAAATAGAAAATAATCATCACCCAGAACAACACAGTGCGGACAGCCGCCCAAGTCACTAATAAAGACAAAACCCAGACAGCGGATGCTAGTGGGTAATGCTATATAAACATTGCTAAATCGCGACTAATGTGTCAGTAACATTATTAATAAATATTATCACAATATTGAGACTTATAAAAATTAATAGTAACAGGGGGAGCCAACGGATGATGACTAATAATAGGTCAGTAGCCGTGTATCGATCACCATGGTAACGATGAGTAGCCCATTTGTATTATTCAATCGGTCATTGTCTTTGAGTCAGACTGATGACCTATGGTATTTGAACACAAAACATTTATTATATGTGATTTTACAAAATAAACTAACCTAAGCAACATATTAGTTTAATGTTATTAATAAATATAGTTGCCTATTAATATTATTGTTATTAAAATTAATATTAAATTATTATCATTATTATATTACAGCATTATTATTATTATTATTAGTGGTACATTGTTATTTCAGTACTATTTTTATATTATTATTACTTTTGTTGATATTATTACAGTATTATTGTTTTTAAATATTATTTGTATTTATATTATTTTTATTTATTTATCATCATTGCTATTTCTATTTATACAAGGGCTATTATTAATGGTGTTGTTGGTATTATTACAAGTATATTTTTTTTTTAATTAATCAGCCATTATATACGGTAATACATTATCTTCGTTTATATTGAGATATTCACTGTACAGTTTTGTGTACCTGGTTGCCAGATACCGGTACATTGCTTTATGCCTACCTCTTCTTCAACCATTTGAAAATGCATGCCGCCCTATTAGTATTATCTTCAGCAGTATCACAATAAGATACAAAAAAAAACAAAATACAAAACAAAACAAAAAAACTAATGAGAGAAAATTGACGATAAATTTAATATTGTTTATCTTACAGGTACAAAATCCATGAGAAGTATATATTCAGCCATTGGGTCCATTCCACTCATCTTAATTTGAAAAGTTGGGAACATCCGTCTGAAAAATTAAAGGGAAAACATTTGCCTTAGATAAACAAAGGAAAATATAACATAAACATTAACACAACTGCGCAAACCCGACTGCGCACACTCTGATCCCCTCCTGTATTCCCACAAGGCATGTATGTCGGTGCTTCAATCATTTTATCACCTTCATACTTTTAATACTTCCTCGACTAGAGAGAAACTTGTTCAAACCGAACGCGTGTTTTCACTTTCAAGAGCATCGGTCTTACGTCATTATGACACGCTCCTTCGTAATCTACCACAGAAAAAACTTCACAGTAAATTAGTGGTCAGGTTAATAGCAAAAAAAAATAGTTCACTTATCCTAATACGAAGGGTCATTGCGTTGTATGATCTAAATAGCATGGGGTTGAAGTTCGGGGGAAGTAGTTAGTCGGTCAGTGGTTTCGTCCGGTCTTTGTGCTTGTTATCATTGTAAACGTATGTAAAACATGGTCCTAATTCAATTATGATTAAAGTGAACAGTTAGCTTAATATAATCTTGATTCGTTAGGGGTGAGGTTATGCGGACCGATGTACAAGATCATTACCCTGTCAATTGCGACTCGAATTACTTTCTTAATTTTTGATCGGAATGGGGGACGTCAAGAAGCGCTGGGATCAATTAAGTTTTATATAGACTAAAAACAAACAGAATAATCCTACTCAATGACAAATGTAATATGTCATTTAAAATAATTTCTCCTGTATTTGAATTTTTTTTGGAAGTGCGGTTGAATGCCTGTATAAGTCCGTAGTGTAATGACACAATAGCCATAAAGGCATACGCCAAGAGTATTGTTTTAGACGGTTCTTTATAACAAAATAGCAACGTTTTAATAAGTTATTATTAACATAATTATCATTACAATTCTTTGTTTAACTGTTTTATTTATTTATTTTTAGATTGACAAAATAAATAAAATCAAATGAAATAACGCATTATCATCATTATAATTGTCATTGTTGTTGTTGTATACACTACATGACAATAAAGGTATAATAACTGTAATATAACGAAAATGACAATAAATATCTATTCATAAATTTTTGTTCTTAAAGTGTGGTTGGTAGAATTTCCATTTTACAAATATTATATATAATGAAAATTTGTTACATCTTTAATGTTGTTTGTCTATATAACATGAGGATGAGGATGGTCAGAATTTGTGTAGGTCTATTTTACATCTCAAAGTTTATTCATTAACACTGGCTGAAACACCTCGCAGTGACGCACAGTCAATTGGTTATGATAAACTCGAGGGTTAGAAACTCTCACGTTCTGTACAGACTATTGCTAAATTCACACATAACTATCTCTGTCATCGGAATGATGGAGGCGCTAGATAAGTGGGTTGCAACACAGGATCTTTGGCCAGAGAAATCGAAGCCATCTCTCCCCAGTGCATCGATATAAAGTCGGTTGCCTCCAGTTTTTGTCGTTTGGTGACACGTTTGTGACGATGATTTTGATTGGACCCGAATGTGCGTTTCACACTCTGCACCAACAATCTATGACTTACCCCCTTATAAGGGGGTTAAGCGGGCCACTGCTTTAATGCCCCCATTTTTTTGGTGTCACGTTTCATCTAGGCCTAATGGGTGTCGATAGTTTCAAGACATGCAGTCTACGTGACCCAACACAATCAGTTATTGCTTCACAAAACATGTTATTTTGTTTGAAATAGGCTCTTATTCCTCAATAATAAGAATAATTAAAACCACTATGTGAAGAAAGATATTGTGTAGCAAAAGAAAATAATTAGAAAATTGTTATTGAACTAGAAGCTGTTTGTAAGTTCATGTTCGAGAAGTCGGATTAATCTGCAATAGTTTAACTACTTTATATTGTAGCAGAGGAACATTAATCAAATATGATAAAGAAAATAATTATAGGCCTATTTTTCAAATATAGGATATACGGTACTGTATGCAGGCTCAACTGGTTCCATTTTGCTTGGATGAGAAAGCATCTAAAGGTGTCAAACCCGCTTGTAGCAAGTATAAATCAACTTCAACATTGAGGTAAAATCTCAATTACACTTTAGTGCACGAATAAAAATGAAAATAAAACGTGGAAGTATTCCATTAGATCCAACAATACAGCGTTCCACTAAAACCCAATCATCAAGTCTTGTCAACCTGTCAATTAATCAAATTAGTTATTTTGTGCGTGTAAAGTTGCGTACTATCCTATACCTGTACCAACTTCGTTCATTTTACTGAAATTGTAAAACTTGCTTTAAAAACTTTTTCATAACATTAGGAACATTTAATCTTCCTAATGTTATGAAGATCCAGCCTTGATCCAGCCTTGGTTCACTTCACAAGCTTAAGTGGGGTTGTACAAAATGTCATTCTGTACCATGCACATGCTGGAATCATTTTCCATTTCCAAATTGGGTACGCATAGGGCCTTCCTTATGGAAAGAATTTCATGGATCCTTAAAATAGTTGACATTTGGATTAATTGAATAGTACATGTCGATATGGACTATCTTTTCTGGGTCTTCTTAAGGGTTGCTTTTAATTCCGTTGAAATGAAATGCCATGTGGTTAACAGTATACGGGTGAGCAGTATACGGGTGAGCGGTCCTGTAAAATATCCTAAATACAGTAGACACATGACAAGTATTGCTAGAACTTTGCTGACCTAACAGCAAACTTGAAACGACTAAAAGGAAATAGACCTATATGTTTTTGTGTAGTTGAGGCGTGTCTTAGCCCCCTTTTTATTCTAAATTACTTTTTGGTTTTGACGCACTAACGTGGATTACTGGGTTCAAGGACGTATTAAATAAAATGTATTTAATACCTCCTTGCTGGGTTGCATTTCTGCTTTGTGAAATGATTTTACATAAATTTTGCCTAAATCAAAGCTAACAAGAATTGATTTTCCAGTATCGGAGGAGGCGCCTTCAGATTATTAAAAAGCATGGTGGGGATATGCTAGTTGTAATTAAGATCAACTACGTTGAGATGGTGAGTCAGACCCTGCTCCTTGCAACCTTAGCCTATACTCACAAATCTGTGAGGGACTTTCACCCAGAGTTACGTCTTCGCAGCAGCCACCTGAGGTCCAAGTACGTCCGTCGAGGCGCCATCATTTGGAAACCGACAGAGGTTAAGTAAGTTCAACGAGCGTGTGGTTCAATGTGCCAATTAATGTTGAAGTAGCGCTGAAACGTGTATTCAGTGTAAAGATAGATGCAAACAATCTGTTTTTTTAATTAATTAAACGTATAATTGCATTACCAGCTGAAGTGATGCGATTACCCATTTTTCTGTTTACGTTGTGACCACGAAAATTGTATACCGTATTTTAACGCACATAATTTTCAGGGGAAAAGGTTTATCTATAGGCTAATTATGATCGATTTGAAATATTGTTAATAATCTTGAAGGAAAAACATAACTCAGATCGTAAATATATATTAAATTAGGGCATATTTTATCTACCGGTTAAATTGAACATTTCTTAGTAGGACTACCCAAAAATAGGCCTAGTTTGTCCTTACAATTTTTAAAATTATTTTTGTCGGATTTACATTTCTTTGTAATTATCCTCAAGAAGAATAGTACATAGGAATGAGAATAACGAAATTTAAAGAATTATTCATAAACCCCTGTAGCAGCGTACTAGTGGGTGTGCTGTACTTCCCACGTGAGCGCAGTTTTTAGTGAAACTCGTCGACACAATGTCGCGCGAATGCATCATCACGCAAGATAGTGTCAATAACGCTCACACAACAGGAGAACAATTGTGTGACTCTCTTCGGATTCTCTACTTTGAAGACGTAAATTCCCGGTGTATTTAAAACAATCTTTCGATAAATAAGCCTACGTATAATATTTATAACCTAAACAGTCCTCATGTTACACACTGCTAGATTTATGGACTTCTTCGTAAGTTCTTCGTGATTTATTGCTATAAAATAACATGAAATCGAGGTGTCAAGCCTCCGACATACTTAAGTACGGTACACCTCGAGTTAAGTAATATGATTTAGGCAATTGCCTCTGTTCACAAAACATAGAATGTCTGCTAAATATTAAGTTAATAAATTTTAAGAATTGAATGCAGACATATAACTGAAAATTCTCAGCACAATTCTTGCGTACATGTTGATAGACATGTAATAGGCCTATTTAAATGAGTTATAAGGTTCTAAAGCTACAATTAAGGACGGATTAATAAATATAAAATAAATATAAAGCTTCGAATGAAAATGTGAATTATTTAATATGATTTTTTCATTTATAAAAATGTTAACAATTTATATGCTGGTATAATTGTGCTACATTATGTTAATATGATAGACCAATTATGTTGTGTTTAAATGTGACAATATGTTTTTTTCATAAAACAGACACCTTGTATAAGTTGTGATAATAATTATTTCGTGGATTATTCGTTGATGATAAACCATCAGCTATTCGAGCGTGGAGTAAGTTATTAAGTTATTGTAATATGATAGGCCTACATCATTATGCAAATGTTAAATGTAATGTTTACCCATGATTATTCATGTATTTTCATTCATGATTCTCATCACTTAGGCCTATATTCCTGGAAAATGATTCAGCCTTGTTTATAACATGTTAATTAATTATAATAACTACCGTATGTTGAAAAAATATTATTGCTTTCATTTTGATAAAATAATTTAATAATCTAATTACCGTATTTACTCATGGTTAATTTTATTTTCTAATTATTCAATTAGGCATATAGCCATTATCATAATCATTTATCTTTATCGGTATCATGATCATCGTTATCGTTGTAATAACTTTTATTTCCATTATCATCAAAATTTTCATTATATCCTCATTATAATAAATATATTGAATGGAATTTTTACGCTATCAAAGAATTATAAGTTGATGATTAAAATAATTGATCGTGTGAAAAGAACAAAATAGCATTGGGCAAGGATGAAACTGATTCGTTGCAGCCTCTCTACATTATCAGTTTTGAAATGCAATGTC